AATTAACATAAGTATCTCTATTCTTAGCAAACTATAGATACTACCCCTAAATAAAATTTAAACTACTTATAAATACCCTCTAACTAACTTATTAATTTATATAAGTAATAAACATAAATAGACTTATTAATAAGATTTAAAATATATTTAAATATATTTATAAAAAGCTTACATAGGCTTAAGCTTTTTAATAAAAGTACATAAACTAATCCTAAACTCTTACCCTTGCATATGCAGCTAGCAAGAAGGTCTAGCTAGACGCTAGAAATATCTAAATAAACTAATAATTAAAGAAACTTAATTAAAAAAACTTTAGCCTTTTTATAGTAGCCTATATAGTCTTATTGCATGCTTACTAATTAATCCTACCTAACAGCATAAAGATACACCCTGTGTTCCACATATTATTACTGCGCTAAGCAGCCTCTAAATCTAACTATCTACTTAGACAGCTAAACCTGCTACCTAAACCTGTTATTATAAATAATAAACTAGAATATATTATAGAAGATGTTAAATAGATCTAGTTTAACAAGAAGAAACATACCTATAAATACCTTATAAAATAGACTAGATATAATAAACTATTGTAGAAACCTACAGAAGCCTTATAAAAAAACTCTGTAGTAACTTAATTTTACGCCTAATACCTATCTAAACTAAACCTATACCCTAATAAAGATAACTTAATGCTAAAACTACTAATGTAAAGAATTCCCTTTTTAATAAAAGGGGGGGTACTGTTACAGTATCCTCTCTAGATCCTAGACATAACTATATTAGACGTGTACTAGAGTATTATTAGTGCATGTCTAACATAAATATAACATAACATAGACATAAACTTAAGCATAAACTACTTTAATACTAACTAAACTTAGAACAGGCTTAATTTATACTTAAAGCGCTTAGACTTCTAAGCTAAGTATTTAATTACTAATTTCCTTCTAAACTTTTCTGTTCCTCACACAACGTCTTGTACCTACTATAATACCTCACGTAGTAATTAAACTAGACCTCCGCGAAGCTCTATAACCTTACTTGTGCATAATTGTGACAATATATATCTCTTTAGCAGACTCTTATAAATCTTTAACACCTTTAAATTTACTTTTATAAAGCCTACAAAATAGCATAGTTCTTTTACTTTAAAAAGCTTTATAAACATAGTATTAGTAAGCTAATAATATATTTTATAACTTTTATAATAAATTCTTTTATTTTATACTACTATATTATAATGTTTTTAAACTTATCTCTACACCTTATCTAGTTCTAAGATAAGTAGGCGTTATTTATTACTTACTAAAAAAAATCTAAGAAAAGTGTAAAAAAAATCTATACATAATATAAAGCTTAAAAGTAAAAGTAAGAGATAAAAATACCTACTAAAAGTTAATAACATAAAATACTAAGTAGTAAGTACTATAATAAGTAGTTTATAAAGACTTTATGTGTTAATCTTTACTTTCTTACTAAATCCTTAAGCGCTAAAAAGGCATATATAGTAAATAAGCTATTGTAGTATATTAATACTACTTAATCTAATTTTTTTAGTTATAGCTAAAAATAATATAATTTATAAAAATCTACTTACTTAGTAGTATTAAATTAGGTGTAAGCACTATTTAATACTGTCGCGTACAGCTATCCGTCTACATATATCCTTCTGCTGTGCTAGCTGGGAGGTTGACCTTTTGGCAAAACGCAACAGTTATAAGCCTGGTTTGCGGCGTAGTGTAGATGGTTAGCGCTTAAAAAATTTGCGCACCCCTGCTCTACTAATAGGATTGCATTATCCTAGAGCACTGCGTGTTTAATTCCCACGCTTAGCAAAGAGCATTTAGGCAGTGCGTTTATTACAGAGGCTACCTTACTAGATCTGTCTCTAAGTTCTGTTGCTCAGGCTAAAGAGGAAGGGTGTGTTAAGGTTGTTTTACTATGTTTTACCTCTCTCGTTCCACGGTTTGAGCTAGGGGGTGTGTCGCGTACAGCTATCCGTCTACATATATCCTTCTGCTGTGCTAGCTAGGAGGTTGACCTTTTGGCAAAACGCAACAAATACTATATAAGATAGCTCTTAATTTTCTATCTATCTTTATAATAAGCTATAAGTGTGAAAGGTGCTTTAGTAAAGCTAGAAAAACTATTATAATTAATTAAAACTAGCTATTACCTTTTATAATTAAGGCTCTGCAGCTATAATATAACTAGATTGCTAGAGGACTTGTTTACTTAAGGTTAACTAATCTTTATAACTATATTAGGAAGATTATGTTAAAATTAAGCCCTCTAGAGCCTCTAAAAACACTAGTTACTATAGTAACTATACTAAACAGTAGCTTTACTATTAATTAACTTAGCAGTAACTATTACTACTAGTTGTAATGAGGTAGGCGCCCCGCCTGCCAAGCCGATACTATACGACTTTCCCCACTGTACCAAAAGGTACGCACGAGAATACTTAAGCTAAGTATTCTCGCATAGTATAATATATATATAGGTAATGCTAGGGTAAGCACTAGCACTAGCGGTTGTCTCTAGCCTAGCCTAAACCTCTATGAGCGAGAGAAGGCCACGTGGTTGACCGTGCCGACCTTGTTACACTAGTAAAGCTGTTTTAATTTACTCTTTCTGTAAGAATAAAACCCTATTACTATTAGTAACGCCTAAAAAACACTACTAACAGTAACAGTTATGTTTTAATAAACACTATGCGACTGTCTAAAGGAGGTCTATAGCCTTGTGATGCAATGTCAAGAATGGAATATTGCGCACATCGCGTTGGATGTTACTATAAAGCACAGGCTTACGTCAATAAAAGCAAAGCTAGATAATATCCGCAAGGCTTTCAAATTAGAGATTCTGGTGAGTCCCTCAATCCAGCATGCGAAGAACATCAACGCACACACAGGACCAGTTCGTTTCTGATCAGGCTTCAGATGGCGCTTAAGGGAGCCTCGTCGGAGGCTGCGGACGCTCTTCGCTCACTAGCGACAGAAATAAATGATATGCGAGATGCCAGGGAAGAGGATGAAAAGGATAGGAAAGCTATGCTAGAGAAACTTCGCCAGCTTCAGGACGACGTGTCAGAGTCGCGCCGCAACATCTTGTCTCTGAAGCCGCTCCTAAATACGACTCTGAATATAGTCTCAGTGCCTAACCCAAGTATCTGTGTGTTGAAGGAGTCTGCCGACAGGAAACCTATAAAAGGAATGTTTAAAGGCTCTTAAATCTCCTTCTATGAAGTCATTAATAAGAGAGGGGTATCGGATGGGCTCCCTTGAGTGGTCAAGCTGTATCAAGATATGACGGAGATAGCACAAATCCAGACGCTGTACAGTATTGTTGAGATAGACGGATCCCTTTATGCTGCCATAGAAGACATGGCACAGCACATAAGCTTCGCGGATGCTTTGGAGACAGGCTTTATTGCTAAGCTAAGCCGCCTACAGAAACTCCAGATCAGGCACAAGATAGCGGCTACTCTCTTAGCTCTTTATAGAGCTGAAATTATTGTTAAGGTTATGTCTAACGTCACAACTCACCTCAAAACTATGCCTAACAGCTTAATAAGGGCAAAGCTTTCCAGATTGCGAAGTGCTTGAAGAGTAAGCGTTCCATCTCTAAATCTGGTCATATATGGTTTCCGCATCCAGCAGTGACTGACTAGTATCAGATATAGGAGACAACAACTTGCGACATACAGGATCTAAGGTTTGAAGCTCTGGAAACAGAGAAAGTAGGATTATAGTCTCCCATGTTAGATGTTTAGGCGTAAGTATTTAGTTACGCCTGTTTTGTAGTTTAACTACTTACAATAACTTACAGGCTAGGCACTATTCTCTATATGCTCTTTTTTACAGAATTTCCCTTTAGCAAGAAAGTGGACTAAGCAAAGCTAGACAACAAGACAGCGCAGCGTGAGATTAAAGATCTTCTCTAGTTAAAGAAGGGACCTTTTACTAGTTACCCTTTGCCTATGCTAAAGGAGACTAATCTAGCTTAGGAATGTCTTTAGTCAGATCTGTTCCTCAGACCACCGGCTTCCTAGGTTGCCTAGCAAATGTTTAAAGTCTTGATTAGTGTTGCAGCTGAAGATAATCCTAATCTTTCTCTAGCAGTCCTAATGCTAAGAGCATCCAACAATATAGAGAAGTTAAGCATAGATAAACTAGTAAAGCGGATTTATTTAGCAGCGCAAGAAGCTAAAACTAAAAAAAAATAGATATTTAGAAGTTTACACAAGTTAAGATAAGCAAGTTAATACAAGCGGCTAAAGGAATTAATCTAGTATACGCCTACACTGTGGGCTTAGCCTATCTTCGCGATCTTGTTAAGCTTAGTAGTGATAATTAACCATCGCCTGAATTTGTACTAAGTGAAGTCTGACGTGCGAAGCTAGCCCTGCCGTACCTTGACATGGCCTAACAACAAGGGCATGTCCGTGCGATTAAAAGAGTTGGTTCTTGCTTATAAGCATCTAGCAGAACACTATTACGCCTTGTTAAAGATAGACTATAAATAAACTAAGACTAGAGATTTCTACATAAGCTTAATTGCTTAGTTCCATTACAGTTAACTTAGAATCTGCTTTCCTCTTCTAGCTTAATAATGACAACTAACCTAATCTAAGGTTCAACTCTAAGTCTGTTTCCAACATTTTTCTGACTTAAGGGAGCTCGTAGCTCCCATCATACTATTCAGTCTCCTCACCGTAGGTCGAAGCAGCTATCCCTGACGGGCCATCCATGATCTTATCCATCACCACTACTAAAGATGTCGCGTCAAATCGCCCGGCCGGATTGGGATCTAAGCACCGCTCCAGTACTCTTATAAGGCCTGCGAGGTAATGGGCATTTCCATCCTTGTTGCAAAGCAGCGGAAAAATCTTACTGTTATTAATGATCTTTACAGTGAGCAGGCCCCACAAAAGATGTCATCAACTGTTAAGGAGCCCTGCGTGTGATTAGTAATTTCTAGCGTTATGAAGTTAGTGTAGGAATAAGACCTGGTAGCTATGCTTAAGGAACTGGCGAGAGGTTGTGAGTCCATATTCTTGATGGTGGTAGTGATGTCTTTTCCTTCGCCTAGGTTAGACAGCAGACAGTCAAACTTGATTTTGTCTTTGCCTGCTTGGCGGCGAGATGTCACCAGAATGTTATTTAGATAAATGTCTCTATTTAAACCCTATTGTCAGCATCTAGACTTACATCTACATTCGTCAGCAACCAGCAATTGGGAACATACCAGTGCACAATACCCTTCTTATGAATTGTCATTAAGCTATTCGTAAGTCCACTTAGCGCCCTGCAAATAACTAACTAGTTCTTTTCTAGTTCTCCTGGCCTTAATCTTCTTTCTAAAAACCCTAGTATGTCGCCCTGTTCTGCGAAGTTGAACACAAGGGCGAAGGTCTCCTTTGTAGTAGTTAGGAGCACCTTAATTGCATTTAAATTAATAATACGCCCTGTTTCATCCACAAATACTTTGCAGAACCTGTAGAATAGGACGCAACCTCTAGAATCTCCGGCAAGAGCTAAGTACACAGTGGCTAACTATAATCTGTCAGCTAGAAAAGCTTAGAAAAGACAGCAACCTGCCGCATACCTTAACAAAGAATTTTGCTTGGTCATCAAAACTCTTACCCACTAAGGCCACTTTTAACCTGACCATTCCCCGCCCTTCCTTAGTATAATTATACATTTTTGTTAGCTTCCTCGCCCAGCTCGCTTTATGTCGCACGTGTCTCACGCGATATTGTACCCATGTACTGCACTATTCACTTATTAGGCATAGCTCCTCTCTTGTACAGTATATAGTCAGCCTAGAGCTCTATTAAGCTTCTTAGACCTTATAATACACTTGTTTAATCTACTTTGTTTAGATCTTACTACCTTGTTAACTTGCTTCCTATATAACCCCTCCTTAGCTTATGCAAGAGTTATAAGCCTAGAGTTGCGCTCTAGACTAGTACTATAGTTACCACTGCACATTTAGCTTTTGCATCTAGCTTAGAGGGCCCTGCAAACCTTAACACATATTAATTATAGATTACTTACTACTTAAGCCTAATTAACTAAATAATAACCTTTTATTTATTCTAAAACATATTAATTATAGATTACTTACTACTTAAGCCTAATTAACTAGATAATAACTTTCTGTCTATTCTAAAACATATTAATTACAGATTGCTTACTACTTAAGCCTAATTAACTAGACAATAACTTTCTGTCTATTTTACACATATTAATTATAGATTACTTACTAGCTAAGTCTAATTAACAGGATAATAACCTTTTGTCTATTCTAAAACATATTAATTACAGATTGCTTACTACTTAAGCCTAATTAACTAGATAATAACCTTTTATCTATTTTAAAACATATTAATTATAGTTTACTTACTAGCTAAGCCTAATTAACTAAATAATAACCTTTTTGTCTACTAAAATAACTTTAAATATTAATGTCTTTATATAGCTTATAAAAAAGAGTGACTAGCAGCCTTAGTTTAGTTAAATTAAGACATAAGCAACTAAAAAGTGTGTCTGGAAGTACATTAATCTAGACCTTTTACTAGAAAATCTTCTAGTTAACACTATACTATAGAGGCCTAAGGTTACAAAGTTTTATACAGGCAGTACCTAGCTTAGTCCTAACCCTATAGTCTCTAACCTAAACCTTAATAATTAATAATTAATAATGCTATATAATAGCTTATAAAAACTACTATAATAATTTAAGGTTATTTTAAACTTAATATAAAGATTTATTAGACATTTATGTGCTTATTAAAAGCACTATTAACATAACAAACTACTTTATTATTAGAGATAAAAAAATAATTTATAAAAGGCTAAAGGCCTTAAGGGTAATTCTAGAGCCTTTTAATAAGTAGCTTAAGCAGAGCGCACAAATAGCATATAACTGCGCAAGAAAGTAGTTATTAAAAATAAAATAGAACAAATAGATTACAGCATATAAGAATATATATATTAATACTAAATTAGTCTACCTACTAAATGTAACAGAATATTAACTACACTATAACTTTATGTTAGTAATTTTAGATGTAAACTCTAGATGCGTAGCAGCTATCTAATTAATTTTAGTCTAGTATAAATAAACTAATAAAGATCTACCTAATTTTCTTACTAGCTGTTTAGAGTTCTTTAAAAATTAGTAATAATTATAGCTAACTTAGCAACTTAGTGTTACTTATAGCAGTTTTACTACATACTAAAGACGCTTATCTACACTAGAACAACAACAGTTTATATGCAACTTTTATAGAAGTTACTATAAATCTAAGAATTATAAAATTAATAATTCTTAACTAAGACTTAAAGAGTTCTAGATCTTTACCTTCCTCTAGTAGAAATATAATAAGTAGATAAGCAGTAATTTTTAGCTTAAAGCAGAAGCTAAGCAGCTTAAGAACAAAGACTTTCTTTTACTACTAAGAGACTAACTAAACTAAGAAAGAAGACGTAAAAGAGGCAGCAACAATAGCAACTATTATTAGCTAACTTAATTATCTAGTTATATAACTTAATTATATAATTAAAGCTTATAGTCTTAACTTAGTCTAAATCTAAATACAATCTCTAAGACGCTAGCTTTTAATAATTCTACTAACTAGAATCTACCTAATACTTTAACTAGCACTAGGTAATTAGCAGCTACTTTTATAAGCTTTATAATAAACTTTATAAGTAAAGAACATGCTGCAGAGCTAAATAACAAAGAGAATTCTTTTTAGCACTTATAGATTCTAGATACTAGAGTAGACATTTATGTTTATAATAATCTAGCTAACTTTTAATAAATTTAAAGCTTATTTTTATTAGACTAACTTAGAGCTAGCAGCTAACACTTTTTTATACTAGCATAGAGCATAGTTACACTTACTATAAAAGGTTTTAAAGGACCTACTAAGATAAACCTAAATAATATAGCCTATATCCCTAGTATGTTTACTAGTCTTGTATCTCTTTTTTAAGAATAAGATATACATTTTAACTTTAAAGATAACTTTATAAGAGCACTTAATTACTAATTTGCTTTACTACTTAAACTAAAGGTTACTAGGCTTTAGTATTAGGCATAAAGAATTTATCTATTAGATCTATTTTGCTAATAGTTATAGCTACTAAAAACCTTACATAGTAACTTATTACATAAAATAATACTTTAAATAATAAAAATTATATTAATTTTATAAAAAAGCTTCTAGAGCTTAAGAAGCATAATAAAAGACCTAGTAATTAGCTGCATAAAAAGCGCTAGTAAGGCTCTCTTTATTATATACTTTTTTTAAAAATAACTTTAGAAACTATTTTAAAGGTTAACTTTAAAAAAGAAACTAACATTAACTTAGTTTTTTAATATAACCTTAGCAACACGCTAGATAATAGCTCTAATAATAAGCTACTATTAGTTATTAAAGTTTATCTATAAACAGGTAACGCAGCTATAGACTTTAAGACTAATAATAATTACTTTAAGTAAGCTAGAACTACTTAGTACACTGCTGTAATTAATTATAAGTCTTAAAATATTTTCAAAGGCGCTAACTTTGTCTCTTACATATAGCTTAAGAACTTTACTAGACTAGGTCCTACTAAAAGCACAGCTGCTATTAATAAATTAAATATTATAAAGAAAGAAAGCAGAACAAGGCGTTAACAACACGCTGCTGCACTTATTTAAACTACTACTAAACTGTCTAGCTAGTATTATGCCTTTGCACTAGGCTTTATTAAAGAACTAGGCCTATCTACCTAAGTAACGCTCTAAAGGCTTACTCTACTAACATTAGCTTAAAACTCTAAGCCTACTAACTTTTTTTCTTTAGCTATTTTGCGCTTTTAAGTGCACTACTGTACACCTGTAGTCTATTATTTCTTTTTATACAGCTTTACTTTAGTATTTACTTTGTTAAAGCTAGAGGGGTGTGTTGCACGTGTCTCACGCGATATTGTACCCATGTACTGCACTATTCACTCATTAGGCATAGCTCCTCTCTCGCACAGTATATAGTCAGCCTAGAGCTCTATTGAGCTCCTCAGACCTTACAATACACTCGTTTAATCTACTTTGTTTGGATCTCACTACCTTGTCAACTCGCTTCCTATATGACCCCTCCTTAGCTTATGCAAGACTTTATACACTCGCCTAAAACTGCCTTTTTCCAATGAACGCTAGGTTCGCGAGGTTAATTTCACAAGAATCAATAAAGACTAGGAAATTGCTGTAAGATAGATTATAGTTCTTGCTAAGAATCCTTTAAAGAGCGCCATGTTGTATAGAGAGGGTATTTTAGTGTTAGTACTTAAGATCAAAGAAGTCGAAGGCAGCCCAGACGCCGGATCAGTGCTCTAGCTGCTGCATCTTCAGGCCCGGAAGGGTTTAGAGGAGGCAGAAGGTCTGGCTGCTATAATTGTAGGTAAACGCGCAGTTGTCCTAGTAAGAAGACCTGCTTAGTGGCTGTCTGGCTTATAGATGCGTATCAGGGAGTTGTGGAAGAAAAGAACTCACCTAAAGTTCTAGGAAATATTAAAACTGCTTTACAACTTCTGTCCCTTCTAATTTCTATTGCTAAAATACGACCCTATTTCTAATTGTTAAGCTAGGGTATTAATAGCTAGAATTAACATGCGAAAGGAATAAATTGTCTGTAAGATATAGAGTGTGATTAACACTGTCCACTAAAACAGTACACAGAGTTCTGTTTAATGCCTTAGCATTAAGGCCTAACGCACTCTCTAGGTCGACGAGGCTCTGAGCGTTGATTTCCTCGAGCGTCTCCTAGGAATAGAACGAGAACAGGTTTATTGGGTTGATGATTGGACTTTCATGGGCTCTCTGACGGAACTCAAGGTCGAGCTTATATCTAATAAGTTAATCCTCGCTACAAGCAGCTTCTAGGGTACTTACAAACTCTTGAGAGTCCTCTTTGAAGAGACTAGCTATCTTGCTCTATTACTGTCTTAGAATCTTTTAATCCCGCTTGACTAAGCATGAGCCTACGAGGGGTTAGAGGCTTACTGGACGCTAAGACGACACCTCACTTAATGGCTTCTTTGTAATGATTTCCTAAGCGCGTTTATTATCTTAGTTCCCTGTTTTCCACTATTTAGCAAACTCCTTAGATGTAATAAGCTGATTAATCTCTGCTTTATAGAGCGCATTCTGCTTTAACACTACTAACATTTGGCACAGCAACCACACATCCTAAAATTCCTTAGCTTCTATGATTTTAGTTGTTGTAATCTTGGCTAAATCTTTAGTCTGCTCTTTATCTTGCTCTTCTTTTGCCTTCTTAGCTTCCGCATCCACAGGAACCTCGTCATCACCTTCACCCTCACTGTCGGTGTTCTCGCTATTGTCAAGATTATCCCCCATACTCTTAAATAAACCTCTAGGCGGAAACTCTAGCGTCTCCTCAATCATGCGCTCTACACATTCCCTTAAAGCCTTCTGATCTTCTACCAACCTTAACAACTCCAGCGCCTCCCTTCTAAACCCTGGCAACTCTTTTACCCCCTTAACATCATAGAGCACAAACCTTCCTAGCTTTTTCTAGATCCCTAAATCCTCTTTATGTGGCATAACTGTAACCTTGTTAACTTTAACACTATTTTGCTTGCTTAACTTAAGATTGTCCCGCATTAGCTGCTTAGTGCAATAATAACGTCTATTATAGAGGTTATTTCTTCCTCTAACTCTTGTCTGCAACGTTGATTGAAAGACGTCTAGCGCGGCATTAAAATCCCTGTCGTGGCATTCAGTAACCCATTCAGGGTCTAATTCAGTCAGCGCCAAGCGCAGGACATTGTCGGCCCAGGACCAGCAAAAGAAGAGGACGACTGCTGCATGCTCGGATAATATGTCGCTTATGGTACTTTGGGGCCTAGATTTAGACTAAAGCTGGGAAAGTGTGTTTAAAAGGAGAGTCTGTTTAAAGGGCTAGAGTCTGACGCGGAGGGGAAGAGTGTATGGGGATGACAATGGGTTTGAGTTTGAGGAGGAAGGGAAGTAGGAGAGCGCATTAAGAAGGCATATATGCTGAAGGCGTGTTATACGCGGCCAGCTACAGCGCTTGCGGATGTGGAAGAGGTAGCGGTCATCTATTGTGGATGTTAAAATGTGAAGGAGAATCTTGTCGCATCAGGCTGAGACAAAGTCATGGCTCCTCCAGCCTTGTGATATCACCTGATCTTCGGGTGGGCCTGTGGCGTGGAGATGCATGTCGCCTAGAAAAATCCATTTAGAGGATTTTAATATCAGTATTTTTGAATATTTACACCTTTGATTAAACATTGATCAGCTGACACAGAATAGAGTGAGGGCTTTCAGACGCATTGTACAACATTAGAGCATCAAGAGTATCGCGACCATTGAAATTTCAAGCATACTAGGGCGCTTAATAGCTTTTAATAGCAATACTAGAGTGCCACCTTCCAAAAATACACTTTAAGAAATGGAATAATAAATAAAGGTAAAACAGAGCAAATTAAAGATGCGATAAGAATGGCAGCTGCGACAGGCTTAGAAAAAGCAAGCAATCTTAATACATACTAACCTTAGCTGTGTTTGCCCCTTAATGTTACGCCAGCCAATCACACAGAAATCTAGCTCCTCATTTAAGACGGCAAATGACAGCTGCTAAAGCTCGCGTTAATATGAGAATGTGCAGGCTGAGAGCACTGCGCTAGTACACTTACTTTCGTACTGGTGCAGAGCAATAGTATAGTAGAGTAGCAGGCACAGTTCAACTGTGCAGGGGGAGATGCGGGCAGAAGAGGGGGGTTTGAGGGGAGTCAAGGAGGGTTGAGAGGTTCAGAGTGAAATAAGACTAGGACGTTTGATGAGCTGCTTACTTCAAGATTATATAATGAGCATAGCAGTTGGAGTGCAGATCTAAGACTTTTCGAAGCCCTAATTTTCGGGGGCAAATCACGCCAGAATATGGAGGCTTCTAAGCCAATCCAACATGGTTTATAGGGAAAGGCTTAGCAATGTTGGGCGAAGAGAACTCGATGACGACACATTTCTGCCCCTTTGAGGCATCATTGGCGTCTTTCAATCCAAGCAGAGGGTTATTTCCCTACTTGGTTCGATTTTGCAGAACAGCGGGTATAACGTGCTTGGCGAGTGTCGCACGTGTCTCACGCGATATCATACCCATGTACTGCACTATTCACTCATTAGGCATAGCTCCTCTCTTGTACAGTATATAGTTAGCCTAGAGCTCTATTAAGCTCCTTAGACCTTATAATACACTTGTATAATTTACTTTATTTAGATCTTACTACCTTGTTAACTTACTTCCTATATAACCTCTTATGCAAGAGTTATAAGCTTAAAGTTACGCTTCTAACTAGTACTATAGTTACTACTGCACATTTAGCTTTTACATCTAGCTTAGGGGGCCCTGTAAACTTTAAAACATATTAATTATAAATTGCTTACTAGCTAAGCCTAATTAACTAGATAATAACCTTCTGTCTATTCTAAAACATATTAATTATAAATTACTTACTAGCTAAGCTTAATTAACTAAATAATAACTTTTTTATCTACTAAGCTAAAACTATTTATTAATAGAAGACCTACCTAATTTAGATAAGCAACTTTTTACTATTAACATATAGAAAAATAACTTTAAATATTAATACCTTTATACAGCTTACTAAAAAGAGCAACTAGCAGCCTTAGTTTAGTTACATTAAGATATAAGTAACTAGAAAGTGTGTCTAGGAGTATATTAATCTAGACCTCTTACTAGAAAATCTTCTAGTTAACACTATACTATAGAGGCCTAAAGTTACAAGGTTTTATATAAGCAGCACTTAGCTTAGTTCTAACCTTATAGTCTCTAACTTAAACCTTAATAATTTATAATGCTATATAATAGCTTAATAAGACTACTATAATAATTTAAAGTTATTTAAAACTTAATATAAAGCTTTATTAAACATCTATGTGCTTATTAAAAGCACTATTAATATAATAAACTACTTTATTATTAGAGATAAAAAAACTATTTATAAAAAGCTAAAAGCTTTAAAAGTAATTCTAAAGCCTTTTAATAAGCAGCTTAAGTAAAGCGCATAAACTGCATATAACTGTGTAAGAAAGTAGTTATTAAAAATAAAATAAAACTAATAAATTATAGTATATAAAAATATATATATTAATGCTAAATTAGTCTACCTACTAAATGTAACAGAATATTAACTATACTATAACTTTATATTTGTAAGAGGTATCAAGCAGGAAACACAGGTTACAGAGAGAGAATGCAGGATAGTATTAATAGACAAATCCTTAAGAAGACTCAGGGGTTCGTGAGAGGATATATATATATGTGCTAGGGCACGTGACAGGACGTTATGTGCCTAAGGCTAGGCTAAGAGCTCTCTAGGGAAAGTCTAAGGCATGTCTAAGTTAACTATAACATAGCCCCCCTCTTTCTGCAGGTTGTCCTTAATCCTGCAATTAAATAAGTAGGATATTATAGTAACTTAGACTAGCCCTAGGCAGACCTGCGGTGGGGACTATACAGGTTACGCCTAAGTAGTACTTATTACTAGTAACAAAACTTTAAAAAACTTTAGTAAAAAAAAACTATATTTAAAAAATTATAACTAAGTAATTTAAAATATTATTACTAGCACTATAGCTACTAATATAAGGTGTTTTTATTTTATTAAGTTAAGCCTAATAAGCTTATAAAAGCTAAGTAAAGTAAATAGTTTATAATTAAAAAGCTTACTTTTTTAAAAGTAACTTAAAATTATAACTTTTTTTTTTTTACTATTTAGTTAAGGTTTACTTTTAAAAGTTTTAAAGTTTTCGTTTTAGTACTTATAAGTACTATAAAGTATTTATAAATACTTTACTTTTATATAAGTAGTTTTTTTTAAAAGAATAGCTATTAGTAAGCTTATAATATTATTATTTTATTTAAAATAGCTTAAAGTTTTAATATATTACTAAAATAGTTTTAAAGTTAGTGCTATAAAGCTTTTAAAACTAAGTTTATACCTACTCTAGTCTAGAGTTATAAGTACTAAATAAAAAAGTATAGTTGTAAGGCTAAGATGTGTTACAATCCTTGCTTCGTGAAGCACTCGGGTCTTCTGGTATTCCTAGGGGGGAAGTAGGACGGATAGTAGGGGCCAATCCGGTAGGGTGTACAGTCCTACGTACAGGCTATTAGGCTAATGGAGGCGAATATAGAGTGACTAGATTGTGGTTTGCCCTATGTGCAGCAGTAGGGAGGCTAGGGTTAAACAGTCCTTTTAGACAGGGTTAGAGGTATATATAGTGCAAGATATATAAATAGTATTACAGCTCTTTAGAAAGCTAAATGCTACTTAGTCTATGTAGAGAATAAACTAAATGTTAAATACACTTTCTAAAGAGTGTTTAATGTAAAAACTATATACATGTGCTAGGGACGCTAAGAGGAGTTAGCAGGAGTTTATAGGAGCCTGCTAAGAGGGGCTCCTATAAGCTCCCTTAGGCTCCCTAAACTTGCAGCCTGTTCTCCTATTAAATAGTGCATTCTTCTATAATCTTAGGTAGCTGCGCTGTCTCTGCGTCCTCTAATTAGTTTGTAAGCAAGCCCTGCCCTAAACTAGCTAGATTGTGGAGCACTGCTGGTGGGGTTACGCTAGTCTAACTATAGACTGTAACACGCTGCCCCTTCTCTCTAGCAGTGTCCTTGCCGCTCTGCTCACACAACTATGTTAGTAAGGGTTTATTTATAAAGTAAGCGTCTGCCTGCTAAAAGGCATTCTTAACATTTATTTATCTTATACTAAATAGCTTACTAGTCTTATTTATCTTACTGTCTTTATGTTACTTGTTATTTTAATCCTTTTTATTAAATAAAAATAAGGCCTTATAGTGCTTACTAATTCTTAGAGTTGTCTTATGTGTTAACTTTATTCTTAAATAAGTGTATTAAGTGTGTAACAAAGCATAGTAAATGCAACATTTTTATTTCTAATGCTATGTAAAATTATTTAGAGAAGAAAAAAGAAACACTTCTTTAAAAGGCTAAAGCTTTATAAGCCTAGAACTATGTGTTATAAGATAAGTAACAGGCTTAGGTCTAGAAACAGCTCTGCTTGCAAGAGAAGATGTTAGGGGCAATAGATAAGAAGTGTTCTAGATAAGATTATATCTAAAAATTACTAGATTTGCTAGAGGCTTATTGCATAAAGTACTTAGAAGAAGATCTATCCTTCTTAGATAAGATAAAAGCTCTTAAGGCTAAAGTAAAGGGTTATTCTCCTTTTTAGCTGTTATTAGCTAAGACTTGTCTCTAAAGGCTGCTGCTATCTAGTAATAATGTAGCTATTTCTTTTAATATAGGTGCCTTATTGCTTAGCTAGTTTCTTTTAGATAAGCTTAAAAGTACCTTTATACTAATAGCTGCGTGTTTCTTAAATTTTTAGCTAGTTTCTATATGTTTTTACTAGTAGGCTACTCTTTTTATTTTACTAAAATTTTTTTTTAGTTTCTTTAGTTGCTAATAATGCGCTTAACTTTATACTTTGTTTTCTTATCTTTTTATTTTTAAGTAGATAAAGGAATCTCTTTAAGTGCTTTTTCTAGTCTAGAGATATAAAACTACAGGTGTATTTTTATATGTAAGGGAAGCTTAAGCTTATAATTATCTTACTAGGTCTAAAGGACATTATATAGTCTTATTCTTTTTTCTATAAGTTTTCTTAAGGGCTAAGGTATCTTAAGGTTCTTAGTATTAAGGTATACATAATCTTCTAGGTAAATTTTTAGTCTTAGTTGTTATAATTTGTTTACATACTTCTTTATTATTTCTCTGCTAGATCTAGCTTCTATAGCTAACTTTTTATATACCTAATGTAAGTCTGTTAGCTAGTCTATTAACTTTTATAGGTCTGTAGGTTAATTCCTGTGCAACATAAAATATAGATTATATCTAAAATTAGCCTTATATAGTGTTTTCTTTGTTATAGCTAATTCTATATTATTAATAGCTAACTGCGCTATTAGAAGCTATTCTACCTAGTTATTCTAAGTGTAAGAAATGTACTTTTTTAAATATCTTTTTATCTCTGCATTTACTTTTTTAGTCTGTTTATCTGTCTACAGGTAGTAAGCTGTTAATAGCTTATGTGCTATACTAAGGTGCTGCATTACTGCTTTCTAGAAGCTGCTAGTAAACAGCTTATTTTAATTAAAGATAATAATTTTAGAGCATCTATGTACTAATATTATGTTTTGTTTTAATTTATAAATAAATTTTTTAGCAGTTATTATTTTTTCTAAAGGCTAAGTATGTAAATACTTAGTAGTTTTATCTA